AGGCTGAGCCATATATGAGGCACTAGGTGCAGGTGGATACTTTGAGGGATGATTAGGAACTGGGCAGAGTTAGGCAGGTGAATGATATCAACAATTAAGGTCAGCAATCAGGGCAGATCATGACAGTTTAGAAAATCTGTTATTCAGTTCTAACTAGTCCTGGGATTTTGACCAGAAAGAATCTTATTTTAGTGATCTACAAATGGAACAACAGAGACGAGAGTGCTTTAACGAATGTTAAACGTTGCCATAGTGCACTTCATATAAACTTGTCCCTTGTCCTAAACAAAAAGTACTAGTATCAAGATTAAATCTTAAATAACCTAGTCATTAATATAAACAACCCTTCACTCAAAGTGTTGATAAAACACAACAGCCTGCACTGATGCATAAGTTAAAATGTTGGCTGTATCTTCTCATTACATTTGGAAGTTTTTATGGGGGTGGGTCATCAGATGAAGTGGAGCGGGATGTAACCCACCAGGGGCGCTGCTTTCAGCACTGAGCTGTAGCTCTAGATCAGCTTTGATCCTGGAGAGACTTTAAGAGATGATTCACTGAATCCTCAACAGCTCTTTCTGTCTCTACTTTCGCCTGTTCTATCTCTCATTGAGCTTAAATCAACAACAGTTACTCTGCCAACATGGATCAGTGAAGCTCTGTGCAGAAACAAACTGTTACACTGATGGCTTCATAAGTCTGTTAAACCCACAGCAGTCTGTCATTTTTATGTAAATTTTCTTACAGCTACAGAAACATCACACTGTAAGCACAGCTGAAGAGAGACACAACACATGTGAAAGTTTTATAGATTTTATAAATACTTTTAATCATAGTTTAATGTCTACATAACAAATAGTCCATGAGGCATTTTCACATGAATTAAGACCGTAAGTTTAAGTTTATACCATGAAATATGGAGAGCTAAACCACAAAATAGGTTTTGATTGGAAGACCAACACAGTTGCGCTCAGTTATATTGAAGACGTTTCGACACTGATTGTATCTAGGAGTCTTTGTGTTTTCTGTTGGCTCGCACCAGAGCAATCTGTAGTTGATGTATTTCAGCAGAATGGAGGTCCATCCTCATAAGCACATTCCATGTCAGATGCAAATCAAATCGCCACTCTTGTTTTTTCTGAGAAGAACAAGGAGTCCATCCTCGTAAGGAATGTGCTTAGGAGAATGGACCTACATATTGCTTAAGTACATTAGTGCTCCCACTACAGATTGCTCTAGTGCGTGCCAACATAATTTACAAAGACTCCTGGACCCAACAGAGAACACAACATAGAACTTATGGCCAATTCTTAAAAATCAGAAAAACAAAACCTGATTCACTCCATGCACTAAGACAAGAAGAAATCCGATTTAGCCCAGATGTGGATTCTACAAGAAATTTCAAGTCCAAAGAAAGTAAAACTTAAACTTGATAATATGTTTAACATAAAAAAGCTGGAAGATATCTAATATGCATGCAGTGACCAAAGAAAATGAAATAAAATACACTATGAAATTATATTCAAGAAATAAGATATTTGTTGTATTTTGTGAGTTCAAAGTAAATCATATTAAAAGGTCCAAATAAAACCTTTATTCAGATGTAGTAATAAATGGTTTGAAAAGCATTTGATGTTCATATGGAATGCAGACAAAATTATAACAGGAAGAGATAAAGAAAAACTAGTGTCAGTACTGGAACAAAATCTCTTTCCCTTCAAGGTCAGAATCAGATTTTCTATTTCTGGTTATGCTGTGACTGCAGCTTGATCACTAAATGTGTCTTACTTCTGTTTATAAAAACCCATCTCTTAGTTGTCCACTTCTTTCCTTAAATCAAAGATGTTATCAAAGGAAACAGGTACAAACGGTACAAAAACACAGCCTTCCCAGTCATACAAACTGATTCAAACTTAATTCCATTTTAAGTCTGCAGCAAAAAATGGAAATCCAGACATGCTGGTCCAAGATTTTATCTTCTTTCTATGTTTCAGCAAAAGTACTGGCTTTATGTTTGCACTAGCTCCTTTTGTGGCTTCATCTAGAGAAACACAAATCAGCTTTTAATCCAAATGCATGAAAACCATTAACATGGGCCTGATCTCCACAAGGTTTGTGTTTCTTAAAACAGGTGCAGTTTGTGCATGCAGAGCAGGGGTGCGTTTCACAAAGCAGTTTTACTGAAAACTATGAGTTTTTTAAACCTGAACTATGGGAAACTCAGTTTTCCATTTCACAAAGAGCGTTTCCCCAACCTCTGTTTCAGTCACCGTAGTAACATTCTCCCCAGAGCTAACCTGATCCGTAGCAGGTTTTCTTCAGTAAACTCAAGAGTGTCCTCTGTCTCCACTCTCCCTACAGCTAATCATGCTGTTTTATTTCCTGATTCAGTCAGATTTTTGTCGTAGTTTTGTGCATAAAAAAGAAAAAATCATTCACTAGGTCCGTTAAATACATTAGTATTCAAAAACAAATATTGTATGTCCTTTTGACGAGGATCTTGTTAAAGAATGATTAGCGCTTTTTCACAGAGAAATAAATATCTATAGGGAGAAGATTCTACAATTCAGTTGACATGGCATGAGATAAGTTGTTTTTCTTTTTTTTTATATGAAATGCAGATGATTTTTATTTATTTATTTTTACAGTACATGGAGAACTACTGAAATCATTTTCAGATTGCACATAAATAGATTAATTAATTCCGCAGCGGAAAAGGAATTAATTTAGGGTTAAGATTAGGATTCATTCGATAACAACCTAATGAGTCTACTGGCACAATCTGAAGCTGTTCTATGGGACTGATAACCACTAATAACGACGAGTTATTGGAATGATAACATCTGAAGCGACTGCAAACAGCCACTTAGTATTTACTTGTCAAAGAGAGAATCAAGCTGAAGAACCCATGAGATGATGAGGTTCCATCTACTAGAAAATGTTTTTCCTTCATCTTCACCTGTTGCTAGAAGTTTTCATCTAAATACATACATTGATTTACTAATATTCAAGAAATAATAATGAAATAGGCACTTCTTGTTTCCTGTTGTCATGGTGACTTGTTGAATCGGTGCTCCAATGATAATGGCTTCTCAAACGTGTTACACACTTGTGAACTCTGAGTGGACCTACTTGGAGTTGATTAAACTAATTTATAGCAGCTGTTGTGAAACTGAAAACTCAGAGTTCCCGACATTAGGCTAGATCAGTTTAGAGTTGCAGATTTGAATCTGAGTTTCTTAAACCTGCTTCTTGAAAAGAAACCCAGATCTTCAAGGAGGGTGCAAAGTATTATTTTTTTCAATACGAAGATCCTATTCTAATGACCAAAGCATGAATTCATGGGTGGGGCTATGCAAATGTGAACATTTCCAATATGTAAAAGGGTTATCCAAATCTTGCATTTATTTTTGTACTTCTAAAAGCCAGGTGTAAACTGAAACACAAAAATATCTGCAGTTATGTTTGCCACAAAGAAGACCTTGATACAACGATAGATGATGGACAGATATTCTCTGTTCATGTAAACATATTCTGACTAGATTGGTTAAGAGCACATGGGTCAGTTGTCCTTACATACCTACTGTTGTTCACAATTATTATCTGTTTAAATAATATCACTTGACCAAGCCATTATAATATTCCATTAAAAAAGATAATAAAGGTATGTGTGATTTATGCTGCCAGTGTATCATATCGATATCGCTATCTGTTCATTAGAAAAAAAAACAAAAAACAATACTACTATCATGTTTTAAGTTAAATGGCTGTATTGGGGAAACCCCTAGTTTTCAAATTATCACTTTGGTGTGAAATAAAAAAAAAAATGAATCCAGCTAGGGAGGTCTTCCATGTAGCTTTTTGGCCTGCTGGGCAGACAGTCCAACTTTTAAAGGAGTCATCACTCCTGTTAAAACATACATGTTGTTGTTGGGCTTCAGTTAAAACCTGCAGGAAAATCCTATGTGAAATTGACTAAATCATAATTTTGCATGGGCTTTTTGTTAAATTCAGAACAGAAATCCTTAACAGTTTAACCACAAATTCAACATTTTCAAACAGCTAACTAAGTACAGGTTATATAGATGTTTCATCACTTCTCAGAATTTTAGAGGAAGACCTTGGAGCTCCTTCATTTCAAATGTTCTTACTTTTTTGAACATAAATCTCATTTCAGATGTAAGTTGAGAAAAAAAATGTAACTGTTGAATTCACAACCTTTAATTACTGTAGTTTGGAGTTAACCTGCTTATCTTAATACTATAAAACACAAAATTTCTTGGTTCTTTAAATTTCCTTTCAAGAGTCCATCACTTGTGTTTGTATTATTTTGAACCTAATAATCATTCAATCTGGATGAAAAAACAAAAACACCTCAAAATAAATTTAGATTTCAGTGAATAATGACTGAATTGAAGCTTTTTGTTGTATATGAAGGTGTCAGTTTGAGGATCATTCAGACTCCCAGTCACATGACTGCAGGCTATCAAAAAATGTCACGTTTAAACAGAAAATCTGCTGAGGCTCCTTTACTGCAGCTTGTATGCAAATGCTGGATCATCATTAAATATGGTCAGGAATCTGTTGCTTAGATCACTTCCTCAATTAAAATTCCTAACAAAGTAGCCCACTTTAATGCTGAAATCTTTGAAAAATCAATAAACAGAAATAAAAATGAAGTAACATTTTAAGATAAATTGTATGTTTCTTTTCAATAACTTAAGTCAACCTCCCTTATCTTAACAGTATGTACAATTTCCACTCATGCCATCAGCTTATTAACACCAACAGAGGAAATTGAAGCCCTTTAATCTGCAAATTGCAGGTAAAAAAAAACAACAAAAAACGTCTGGCTCAGAATAAAACAAATTGCCAGGCCACATCTCATGATCTGTAGAAAAAAAATAAATAAATAAAACAAAGAAACACAGGGACACCTTCTGCAGTTATTCCTAACCCCTCTTCCCATCACGACGGGCGCATGGAAGAGGCGCACTCACCCCAGACCGAGCAGCGCGAACAGCAGCCAGGGCTTCATGGTTTTATCCCGCAGTGCTGAGAAAAGCAGCGACTTCATTCCGCAGCTGGATCAACAAAAAAAGCAGCTGTAATAAGAATAATAAAATACAGCGGTTAGAGTGAGGCTGTTTCTGTCGGTGGATCACGGCTGAATGCAGAGGATGGTGGAGGGGCATGGATCCATGGTAGGGGTGTGTGTGTGTGTTGAGGGGAGGATGGGGATGCAGGGAGCGAGGCTGCTTTAGTCCATCTGCAGTGCTGCTGTGACAGATGCTGCTTTCTGACTGATGTCGTTAAAAATATATCTTTCAAATGACTCAACCAAGCTGAGAAAGGCTTGAATAAATTTTCATATTTGTGTTGAATCACAGCAGCTGTTCTGATCTATAAAAAAAAAGAATGTCTCTGTGCAGCTTGACATATGATTGAGTGCCTTGCTTAAGGGCACAGCGACACAATGCAGTGCAGCTTTTTTTTTTTTTTTCATGTTTATGATTTGAATAATCGGATTGTTATAATGTAGCCTACCTTTGCATTTTTTGTCATGCGTAATATTTCAAACAGCTTTTATTATCAGACTCTACCAACCTTTTTTTTAAAAAACAAGTGAAAGTAAAATCTGTTGGGCTCCTTTTGGCATCAAGACAATTATTCTTATTGCCACCTTGCCAGACAAGACACTGTTAAAAAAAAAAAAAAAGAAAATTGAGTTTTCAAATTAAGATTGCACTTTAAACAACAACAGCAAAACTATTCAAACCAATTTTTTTTTAAACACACATCTGTCCCCTACACTGAAGCCTAGGCTGAAGTTCAACTGAAGAAAGTGATTGCTTTCCTACATCCAAGTGCGACACATCAAATTTGAACCACACCTCCACGAAAGCCAATCGGCATCCAAAGTTCATCTTATAAGGTCTCCGATATGCACTTGTCTGCTCCTGTGCGCAGGCGGCAGATGCGCTGTGGGACTTCATTCAGATGACACCGTTTCAACCCACCTCCATCCCCTCCTGCACCATCGTAGCTAAAGCTTCATCAGAGTGTCATTCCTCCTGGACTCTACTGCGTTCCTTGTCTCATCTTAACCGGTCCGGCAGAAGACAGCCATGTTGAGCCTGGTTCTGCCAGAGGTTTCTTCCCAATGGGGAGTTTTTCCTCTCCACTGTCGCTTCATGCTTGCTCACCATGGACAGGTTCTCTCAAACTGTGTTATCCAAGCTGGCCCTATTCTTTGCTCCTGTTCATGCATATTTATCAAAATTAAGCGCTATGTTTCCTGCCAAGGTCTGAGCGCCAAAGACAAAGTACTTTTATCAATAAATTTCTCCTAATTGTCTTTTCTCTTCGTGTGACTTTTTCAGATTGAACGACCATTCAATTGCAATATTTCGAAGCTAAAGCAGGTGATGTAATTTGTTGTTTTAATAATAGTGTTAAAATAATTAAATATGTTTTAATAGATCCAACAAATGCATACAACTGCTGTGTAAGTATTTTCACATTACTCGTTCAAAGACAATCATGAACATAAAAGACACAAAGTGATTGACATTTGTCAGTCTACAAAAGCTTAAATATATTTGTAAGGGTTTGGAACTCTTGTGAATTACTAACTCAAAGAGAGAAAATGTACATAGCAGTGAACTTTCTTGTTTCAATATCATAAATTGCTTAGAACACATTGACAGATCAATCAGATAACAAAAGAACCCACACCATAAGGCACTGGTAGAAAAAATAAGGAAATGTGTGTGTGTCCCATTATGTTGCCATAAGAAAAAGTGTAGAGTGTACAAGAAAACAAAATTTTGACTGCCCCAGTCATAGTCCATTCTTATTATATATTTTTCATGCTCTGGTGTTCACAATTTCTCCAGCGTGACATGAAAACAGGCAGACAGTTTACAGCAATTATTATTTTATTGTTTGTTTAATCACAATTATCTTTGAACATTTGGCCAGGCTGGTTGGATAACTTTATTTCTTAGTGAAATCATGGTTAAAATGCCATACTGTAATTTCCTACATAGCCTACTCTGGTTTTATTTCTTTGGCATCAAATTTAGTTTTATCTGAAAAAGAATTGTGTAAAAAAAATATATAAATTTGTAATAAGATAAAACAAATTTTCATTGAAAAACTAAATCAGAATTTTATCAGCATTTTTTATCTAAATATTTTTATCAACAAAGAACATCTCAACATCTGCAATGATTTTGTTACACTGATGTAATTCTTGATCATGAGGCCAGCAAGCCTGGGTCCGACCTGTGATGACATGTTTAGCCGCATGTCATCATTGAAATGCTGGTTGTTTATATAGTGTCCTGAAAAAGATGTGGGCTACATTGATAATAGGCAACCTTTTGGAGGAAAACCTGGTCTGATGTGGGGAGATCCAAATCCATCCATCCCACTTTGGATGGCATTGCTCTTCTTTCTAGGAATCTGGCAAAATGTATTAGTCCACTAAAAGCCTGACACCCCAGGGAGAAGACCAGGAAGCAGAGTCATACTGTAGGGTGTAACACACCTCTCTGCAGCTTATCCATCCATTATTCCATCCAGACAGTATCTTGCTCACCACTAAAATCAAAATTAAAATAAGTCCATCCATCCATTTCCATGACGCTAATCCCAAGTGGGGTCGCGAGGGTTTCTGGTGCCTATCTTAATCTGTCTACATTCGAGAGGCGGAGTACACACTGGACAGGTCGTCAGTCCATCACAGGGCATCGGACTTAAACAGGATAAACAACCATTCACACACACACTCACACCTAAGGAGAATTTAGAGAAACCAGTTAACCTAAAAGTCATGGGTTTGGACTGTGGGAGGAAGCCAGAGTACCTGGAGAGAACCCATGCATGCTCAGGGAGAACATGCAAACTTCATGCAGAAAGACCTCGGGCCTGTAATCAAACCCGCAAGCCTTTTGATGCAAGGCAGCAGTGCTACCCACTGCACCACTGAGCAGCCTAAAACAAGAAATAAATATATCCATAAAAATAATGATAAAGAACTTATTTTATGAAATAAATCATAAAATAACTCTAATCTGGGCAAAAGTTAAAACCTATAAATGCGGTTCTTTTAACATAAGATCTTTTTCTTCAAAAAGTCTGTTACTTAATGACTTGATTTGTGATAATCACATTGATTAATGTAGTCTTACAGAAACTTGGCTGCAGAAAGAGCATTATGTGAGCATAAATAAGTCAATTATTTAAATTTTCACATACCCAGAAATTCTAGGAGAGGAGGAAGAGAAGCAGCAATCTTTAGGTCTGACTTACTGATTAGTCTAAAACATGTTAATAATTGCAACTCTTTTGAAGATTTAACCCTCAGTTTTCCTCATCCAAATTGCAAAGCAGCAAAACCTCTTTTGTTTGTAAGTTTGTATCATCCACCAGATCCTTAACTTTCAATTTTTAGATAATTTTTTTAGAGTTCCTATCTTACTGTATTTAGTTTTAAATACCGACAATGTCATCATAATGGGCGATGTTAACACCAATTCCAATATTGAAGGGGATAGCTTAAATGCAGCTTTTAATGCTATCTTCGACTTGATTGGCTTTGTTTAAAATGTGAAGTTCTTCTCCCCAAAAGGATTTCCTTTAATAGATCATTATCAAACAATGCAGTAATACATCTTAAGAATCTGTTTCACTTTTTCATCTCCTCTGTATGTATTTCTGAACAATACTGCAAAGGGCAACCATTTAATGTATTCCCATTCACAAACTGGTGATTTTGTTGATGGGCTGCTAGTTCTCTGCATACTGCTTCTTTGTAAAAGAAAAACTTCAAAAAGTAGAATGCTGGCTCCTTGGTTCTCTACATGCCTACAAGAATGCTACCCAGTCTGGAAAATCAGTTTACTGCTGTATAAAATGACCCTTCATAAAAATAGAGCAGCATATTTCTCCTCATTAATAGAGGAGAATCAGAACAATTGTAGATATCTATTTATTCCATGCAAACTTACCCAGATTCATAGCTCTGTTAAATTGTCCATTCCCCCTGTTCTTAGCAGTAAAGATGGATTATTTATGAATGCAATTTCTATTAAAACAAGATTATTCGCACCCTCTAAATATGATTGGGTGAAGAGGTCTGTTTGATATATATGTAAACTCTAAAGGAGAAATCCATGATTTTGACGCATTCTAGTTTTTCTTTTTGTGCTGCTGCAATTCAGAATTGAACCATTACAGTTTTTGTGTCTGAAGCCAAAAGCAATGATAGTGAAACCTTGACGTGCTCCTTGGAAGTTGACTGGACAGAAGAGCTTTTCATTGAACACCAGATGGCTTTCTCCATCATTTATAACCTCTGGATTACTCTCAGTGGTAGAAGAGGAGTCCCTCTTAACAATTCTGGTCACTCACAAAAATAAAAAATCTGAGAAAATGCAGACAGACGTGAAAAGAACACTAACTTTATCTTTTAATTTGATTTTTTTCCCCAAGCTCTTTCATCCTAGACATCCAATTTACTGCAGAAAGATTTGCTACATTCATCGCAGCATGAGGTAATAAAACAAACTACATGTATCATGATGCTGTGTGCACAGCAGCACCATATCTGTCTCTTTGGTAATATTCATGATGTCCTCTTATTGTATGGGAAATTACATACATTTATTCTTGATGTTTGTTTGCTGCTGTTCTTTTTTTGTTCTTAAATGAACTTTCATCTTGGCTTTCCTTGAGTTTACTGTAAGATTGTTCTCTGTTTGCATTTCCTCAGGCAACATTTGCTGACAAATGAAACAGACGGCCCAAAGGTAAGCAAGGATGGGGATTAAGCACATATAAAAAAAGAGAATTGTAGGGAAGCTTGCTGATCATTGCTGAAGCTATAATTATATATCAGATCAGAGTAAAGCCGTTCTGCAGGGAAAACAGCTAATCAGAGAGCTGCAAGGTGGCATTTTGCTTGACACGCTGATTGTGTCAGAGAAACAGCGTGTGACCAACGCAAGCTATTAATGCTAATGTCTTTTTACTGCTTTCCTAGCATCGAGGCAGGTAATTAATGTGCCACTGAGGTAGAGATGCTACTGACAAAAAACATTAAGGCTGACACTTTGGATTCTGAAGAGGTACTTGGTCTTATGATTGTAATAAAAGGGTGCTGTGAGGTTACAGTTAGTTTCTGAAACATGTAT